GTCATAGCTAGCTCATAGCCGGAGGCATTACGTTTTCATGTTGTCCATTCATTTTATTCTCATTACCACAATATGTCAAGAAGACTTCGAGGGAATTTCTTCAGATTTGGCACAAACGTCCACTTGGACTCAGGAATAAACAGTGGAGAATGTTGTGGTCAAAGGTCAAATTCACTGTGACCTCGCTTAAGTGTCATTCTCATGAAAGCAATATCTCAAAAACACTTTGAGGGATTTTCTTCAAACTTGGCACAAACACCCACTTGGACTCAATGATGAACTGATTAGAATTTGGTGGTCAAAGGTCACTGTGACCTTGTCCATGTCATTCTCATGGATGTGATACCTCAAGAGTACCTTGAGGGACTTTCCTCAACTTTGGTGCAAAATTAACAATAAACCGATTACAATTTAGCCGTCAAAGGTAAAGGTCTCTGTGACCTTGCATCCATCTCATTCTCAGGAATGCAATATCTCAAAAAGGCCTTAAGAAGGTTTCCTCAAATTTGGCACAAATGTTCACTTAGACTCAAGTATAAACTGATTCAAATTTGGTGGTCAAAGATCAAGGTCACTGTAACCCCACAAAGTATGTTTTTGGCCATAACTCACTAATTCATATATTTAAGTAATGACAAAATTTCACACAAATGTCTAATAGGATAAAATACTGAAGTGCTGATATTTTACATCCAAAAGATTAAAAGTGAAATTCACTGTGACATCACACATTTCTGGACGTTATTCCAAAGTGGAGACATTTGGTCAGATACTGAATTGGTGACTCCAACCTGGGTGTCCACCTTGAAACTGTGCTGATTGTATAGATCTTCTGTGCTGCTGGATTGAAGATGGATATGAAGTATCCACGCTTTAGAATATGTAACTTCCTTGCAACATCCATAACTGAAGCACCGTCAACTATCATGTTTACATATAAGTCTAATCAGACATGGATGTAAACTGTAAGTGCAACCTGAATAGTTCGCAGAGGCATACATCCACGAGATAGTAATTCTAGTTTCTTTGTTTTTTTCTGCAGCTCCAGTTATTAAAGTCAACATTCAGCAGTTAGAAAACAGGATCACCTGCAGCTCAGAGGGGATCTACCCTGAGCCTCAGCTCACCTGGTCCACCAACCCTCCATCCAACGTGACCCTCCAGAACAAAACCACAGTCCATCAGACTGAACAGCAGCTCTACAACATCAATAGTTATCTGATAGTTTCAGTTACTGATCTGGTCTACAGCTGCGTCGTCAGCACTCGCATAAACAAGAGGACAGCCAGTTTGTTCAAACAAAGTAAGTGTTTCTAAGAAGACTGATTTAATCTGGAACCAGATTCTGTTAAGAAATACCAGATATGTCATAACTTCTTTACATGTTTGTGTTGAATCATTTCAGCTTCTGTCAATAGTTCAGACACTGAAACAACAATCCCCTGCACTGCCTCAAACACTTCACTAACAGACCTCATCTGGAGGTTCAACTACAGTCAGATCATCCTGAACCAGACCAGGGCCAATGTCCCCTACACAGTGTCAGAGGAGTGGAGGCAGCAGGTGAAGAGTGTGTCTGAGTCAGGCAGCCTCACACTGCAGGACGTATCTTCAGATCAGGACGGGATATACACCTGTGAGCTCAGTGATGATGAAGAGACATACGTAACCAACACCTTTCTGAGGATAAAGAAAGGTAAGATCAAGTCTAGAAATGGGGAAATTTGTCAAAGCAAGGACTGATGGGGATCTCTTAATTGAAATCAGCAGAAAAACACTTGTTAATATTTTGGCTGCTGGTTGAGTCCTCAGCCACGGAGTCCACCATGTTGCATCGCCATGTGTCTACAGTAGCACAGAACAGACAAACCAAACACTGGTTATAGATAGGACCATTCGCATTGTCGGGTCAGCCACTGTAGTTGGCAGGCCACCTGCAACGATCTGCACAGTGTCAGAGAAACAGATTTTTAATGTGAAAATGCTTGATTCAGTGTTTTTACCAGTTTTAATTACTACCTCATCTATAAACGTTGCATATACACAGAACAGGGCCTGAAAGACATGCATGCCACTTCCCACGCAAAAGTTGTGATCAGTAGAAACACTTTTTTTTGGAAGATTACTCTGATGGCATTTTTGCCTTTATTAGATAGGAAAGTCTCGCATGAAATGGGGAGAGAGAGAGAGAGAGGATGACATGCAGCAAAGGGCCAGAGTTGGAAGAGTTGGAACTGCTACAGCAGGGACAAAGCCTTTGTACATGGGATGCCTGCTCTACTAGGTGAGCTAGTGGGCGCCCTGATAAAAAACAACTTTAAGGGAGAATGTGTGCACCTGTAGCAAAACTCTGACCCATGCATACAAACATTTTGGAGTCGGGGGAAACTGGTGATTTTTTTGGTGCATGCCATTTTCAGCTTTTGTCCACACATACACTCTCAGTATGGATCCTACACACGGTTTTACAAATGTGATCCCTTGTTCATGTGTTTCGGAGAGGAGGAGACCTCTTTGGGTGATTTGGCTCCCTGTTAAAACCTCCTCAACAACAAACACTGATGGAATCCTAACCAGGAGTTTAAGCTTTGCACATGGAGAAGATTCAGCTGGTTGCAATCAGCAATTTTCTTTGCTAGAAGCCTCTTAATCCTGGACACCATTCCTTTGATAAACAGAGCAATACATCACTGTAAAAAGTTACTTGACATTTTGATGCTTCAGTATTTGTTACTGCACTTGCAGAAGTTTGATTTGTATAAACTTGATTAACAGACTCTTTTTTTGTTTGTTTCAGACTGTTCAACTAATGTTGGAGCAATTGTAGGTGAGGTGATTGGAGCCATTTTAGTTTTTGCCGTAATCGTAGGCCTGGTATACTCATGTCGATCAATGGAATGCAGTGAACTGTCATTGAGTTTTGACTGTTAAAGCACAATGCTGTTGTACTTGAATTAATATGTCTAGTGTAATTGTTTTCCAAATCAATTTCTGAGACGGGGCATGCTGTAATTCACAAATTGAATCAGTAACTTTTGCACATGTATGGCTGTACTGCTGATGATCTGTGATGTGAGCTGTGTTATTATGGATCATTTTATATGCATTTATTGAACATGTACTGATTTGTGAGACAAAGACAAATTTCCTTAATGGAACAATAACGTATTCTATATGAATTTGAATCATTGTTTAAAATAGACTTAAACATTATCTCAGATAAAAATATCAAACAATGAGAGTTAATTCTGAGTATGATGTGTTTCAGCACTAAATTTCATTTGATTTTGTTTGCAGACCACTGGGGGTCATTTGAAATACAAAAGTGGCTCCATGGATTCTGGTTTGTTGTGGCTGCTGCTTGGCGCTTTTGTGACATCAGGTCGCAGGTTACGTTACGTAACGTGTATTTACCTAACCTACAACAGTGTTGTTAACAAGTAGGCTATATCCGACATATTTAATCCTTAATGACCCGCCCCACCCGCCCCGCCAATAAAGTGAACATTTCTTGACCCGACCCAACCCGACCCACGGGTAACCTGCGGGTTGGCCCGCGCATCACTAGAAGGCACGTATCTCCACTCCTCTCCGTTGAAATGAAGACTGGTCACGCTGTGCTGCTCTGAAGTGAGCATGTATTATAGAATGGAAACAATAAGAGATTAATCTAGTACTGTGCAGAAAATGGTGCTTGTGTTCGATTTTTGAGTAATAAACTCCTCATGAACAAAGAATGTTTTTTTTTTTCAAAATTAAATTTTTCTTCTTATTTAGTCATTTATATTTCATGTTGTTGTGACACAAGAAGATGGCTGTATGGACCCTCTGTGCAGGCAGCTTATTATGACCCTACGACCTCTAGCAGCCATGGTGACAGGTGTCAGGTGACAAAGAGGGACAGAGTCCATGTAAGGAGGATGTCAGTGTGGATGGATGATGGGTGAAATAAATTGAGGACTTTGTCCCAGGAGACTGCTGCTCCTGTCCCATGTGAAATTAAAAGTCAGTGTAGTTGTGTATGTTATGTCGCTCCATAACAAGGTTGACCTTTGGTAAAGTAGTTGTTGTTTGCTACGTAAGTTACATCTTTTCTTAAAACCTTAAATAGTTTGATTGTCTTAACCAAACTGTCACTGCTTAACAATGTTAAATAGTGCCTGTAGGTATACCTGCAAAAAGTAGGCCTATTGCACCAGAATTTATATATAACCCACATAATCATGAGTCAGTGATTCATATATAAGCCATGTAACTGGGAGAGCTGCGATCATGTGAGCAATGTGTTGATGGCACTGACCTGGATACTGCATTGAACACACTAAAAAAATGTATCCACTGATTTATAGATGTCTCTTTCCCAATGTAAGTCTATAGGACAAAATGTTTTTGGGCCCCATGGCATCCCATTTACAGACCCATACAGTGTAATTCTACTTCTGGCCACTATGTGTAATTTGCTTCAAAGCTTGGTGCTGTTCATGGGGGCCATGCTGAAGGGAGTAAAGGAGGAAGTACTATAAAGAGCGAAAGTCCACATAAGGAAGCAGGTTAGCGTGTTGGATGGGTCAAAGTAACACAGGACTTTCCCCCAGGAGGTCAGTGTTAGTGCTTTGTGTGAAACCAAGTTAACGTTGAGTTATTTAAAGGTATGACATTACCAGGTTTCTTTCCTTAACTTAAGATATGTAATTTTCCTTTTCCCCTTACCTACATAACTTTAGTAAAGTATGTAACTTAACATTAAGGACCAGTGACCATTAATTAACTTCTGCTCTCTTTTGATTTGTCAGACATATTTAAATCACACTTTTAATTGCAAATTAAACCAGAAGAAGTCTGAAAAAAGCTGAAATTTAGTGGAGAATCTGGCAAGTTGATTAAAAGATTAAAGTATGAAAACAGAGTTTAAGAGTAAGCACTGATGTAGCCCTGGATCAGGACTGCCCTGTAGATTTGGGCAGTCTTGATCCGGGACTAATTTAGGGATGACATCCGTGGCACTCAGGTAAGGACTTTATTTTTTGCATTTGAACATTTGTGTTGAAGTACGTTGTTCCTTTACTGTCGCTCTGCTCCCATATGGATGTTAACTCCGAGACTGTCCTGTAAAATCTACAGGGCAGTCTTGATCAGGGGCTAGCTGTGATGGCAGTGAGGAATAGGACCCAAAATGCAGACACAGAGGGAAGAGGGTTAACAGGTTTATTGTGTCAGAATTGTGCAGAGAACTGAGGAGATCCGGAGTCGAGGTGCAGAGTGAGGAAACCAGGTGAGAGTGCTGGGCTGTGGGCTGCTGAGAGGCACGGAGGGAGACACTGGAACAAAAAAAGGCAGGAGAACGAGGGTTAACACACGAGGAGCAAAAAACACCATCAAACTTGCAAGATACTTAATTCACTGGAGGATCAGAGGAGCCGAGATACCACTGCGTGCAGAAGCGAATACTCTGGCACTGAGGCTAGAGACGGTGGCAGTCTTAACAGCCCGTTGATTGCCGATGAGTCACAGGTGTGCGCACTCAGCCTCAGTGCAGGGCGGGGGAAGGGAGAAGCCTCTGGAGACAGGCAAACACAGCAGCAAACAACCCACACAGGAAGTAGACTCCGGAAATGTTCATAAAATAAAAGCCAAAAGTCCATGCTCACCACACTAGCACTGATGTTGCAGGACCTGCCTACACACTGTGACAAATTAATTCACTAAAATAATACAAATACTGTATCAGGTAAAAAGTAGCAATGAGTTACAGGTGAGTTTCTGCCACCATATCTGTGTAGGCTTGTATAGACATTTGAAGAATATTTCAAAAACAATAGCTGAATTAAGTAACACTAGTAACACTAGTTTGCAGTCTGTGGTGCTACTAGTAGCACTAGTGACACTAGCGCTACCAGTGCTACTAGCACCACTGCAACTAGTAAACTAGTGTTAGTAGTAACACTAGTGGGAATCCTCGTTTCGTTTCATGTCCAGCACTGCAGGACAGTGTGTGTGTGTGTGTGTGTGTGTGTGTGTGTGTAGTGCAGCAGTTCATCAAGAATGTTTAATTACCAGTGGGCTTTTATTTATTTATTTTTTTAATGAGACTGTGATTGAATGTTCCTTGGATTTTTATTGATAAAATACTTGTGTGACCATGAAAGGAAAGAAGCAGAGTTGCTTTTTTATTTTTATACTCATTCACAATAGGAAACAAAGACATACGTCTGGGGTTTCACTGTTTTTATTTCATTGTCCATGATAGTTCGCTTTACTCTGCATTTATAGTTACCAAGGAGCTGGCAATTACACTTAAAAGTTCCCCAGGCTTTAAAGGGTTAAGTTCCCCTAAGGTGATATTCTTGTTGGAGAACCAATAAGATGAATCCATTTATAATCCTATTCCGCCCCCTAATTAGCATTTGGTGTCACTAGTGTGACTAGTGCACATTTTGGCTTCCACTAGTACAACTAGTAACGTGTTTTGCCTCACTAGTTAACTAGAAAAGTCAAAATACACTTCAACTAGTAAGCATGTCAGCATCACTAGTTCAACTAGTAAACATTTTAGATCTCACTAGTTAACTAGTGAGCTCAATAAGGTGTTACTAGTATAACTAGTGAGTATTTCAGCTTCCACTAGTTCAACTAGTAAACATTTGAAGCCCCACTAGTTAACTAGTAAGGTCAATGAGACTTTTTCTAGTTTAACGAGTAAGGTGTAAATCCTTACTAGTCACACTAGTGATGATTTTGGCTCTTACATGTGTAACTAGTGTAAAAAATTTGAGGTTACTAGCAAACTAGTGAGGTGAATAGCTGCTACTAGTTATCAAGTCAGAGCTTTTGCAGCTCACTAGTTCACTAGTAAGACTTTAAGCATTACTAGTTCAGCCCAGTGGGCCACTAGTCTGTCATAAAGCTGACTAGTTTGGATTTTGGTGCCACTAGTATGGCTCTGTGGCTTCACTAGTCAGGCTTAAGTTGTTACTAGTTTGAAAAAAGTGTCACTAGTTGCTAAAAAAGAGTGACTAGTAAGACTCTTTGTTCAACTAGTTGGACAAAATGTCTAACTAGTGTGACCAGATGTCCAACTAGCACTGACAATGATCGAACTAGTGAACGACACTGACACCTGATATCAAGGATATGGAATAAATGCTCAAACGGCTTCCCATAGACAAGGCTCTTACAATGACTTAGATGATGATATCACTGGATTTATACATGCTAAAAAGGCTGAGCCAGTCTCTTAAACCACAAACTATTTAATCAGGCACATCTTCTTATTCCAGGAAACATCAAAATCCACCATTTTCATTTTCATTTTTTTTTAATTTAGATCCAAAGCTTCTGTTAAGGTTTTCAGTTAAGGCTCACAATGTCTGTTTCCTCTGTTTTAACCCATCACCCTGAAAAGAAAATCAAAAATCCACGAACAAGATCCTCAGTTTGAATAAACTGATTCATTGGATTAAAAGACTTACATATTTTTTTATTAAATCAACCCTCTTCAATGAATAAATGTATGTTATCTAATAAAACACTGCTGACAGGCTTTGAACACACACAAAGTGAATCCTTGTTTTCCGTCACTGGTTACCTGTGAGCTTCAGGATATATTTTAAGATTGTAGTGAGCATGTTTAAAGTCTCCTGCCTGTATCTGTGATCCACTAACACCTCATTTTCTGAACTGATGCTATTTATTATAATGGTTTACATTATTTTAACTTATTCTATGTTTTACTTTTTATTCTTTGTTTAACATGCAAAGCACTTTGTAGCTTGGATTTTGAAAGGTACAATTTAAAGATAAAAGTTACTATAATTATACAGATATTAAGGATTATAAAAGGGGTGGAAGGTGTCACAGTCCACACCCAGTCTTTAACAGTGAGCCAGCCCTGATTTATGACTTCCGTTCATGGAACAGATAACAAGTCAGCCCAGTTAGGCAGCATTGAGCATAGTTACCTGTATGACAGTACATTCATTCTACTACAGTGTCCAGTGTCTACAGAGGAAATTTAAAAGGAGGATGACTGGGGTCAAGTGTGTCATGTTGGTGGTGGTCCTGACCTTTCTGCTGAGTCTTACAAGAGGAGGTGAGTGATACATTCACAGTCTGTCTGATCTGATTCCAGTCTGAACAGAAATAACAGACATGTCTTGGTTACCTTTATGAGAGAAAGGAAAGACAGAAGGAAATATAATGAATGGAAGTAAGACTTAAAAGGTCTGTTTTAAGATATTATCCTCTGAAACAGGGCATGGACTGAGTTTTGTTTGTGCTACTTAGTGACAGTGTTCTCATTTAAGTCACAGCTGTCACAGCTGTGACTGAGGTTTATCAGTGTAACTTCCACCTGGAAATACAATCAGCTGCTGAGTTTCACTGGTCTGAGCACAATAAATATTAACTGCAACTAAAATCACATATCTTAAAATGTTGCCACATAACAGTGAAACTACATGCATATGGGTACAAACCATGAAAGTTAGATGGAAAAATCTTTTCACAGTAAACTCTGAGTTTTTTACGGCTGCATCAGAGATATTGTGGATGTTTTGTGCATCATTTTAAACGTATTTACCTAAAATTTAGTTCTTCATATTTGGTGTCTTTTAAAAGTTAAGGATTAAGTGGGGACTTATTACAAACAATATAGCGGATTAGGAAAATATTTTTTTGAGAATCAAATATAAAGTATCAGTTGTAGGCAACAAGTGGACTACAGTTAAATTAATCTGCTGTAAAGAAGCACAAGATTAAGGACATTATGTTCTCTGCTTTAACTGGAGGTGCTGCAGAACCAGTCAGGACACACACACATCATTTCATTCTTTACCTCTATCTACTGCACCATAGCTGTCTAATGGCACCTTACAACTTAAATATTCACAGGAAGCACAAAACTGTTTCTGTTGTTTATCAGTTTATATTTGTTTACATTTATTTTCACCACTTGTGTTTATATTTTTTGATTAATGCACTACATGTTTTTACCTGTGTTTGTATTTTGTAATTCACACCTTATGTTTCATTCTTTTGTTTTGCACTGAGGAAAATATCATTTCATACAGTACAGGCCAAAAGTTTGGACACACCTTCTCATTCAATGCGTTTTCTTTATTTACATGACTATTTACACTGTAGATTCTCACTGAAGGCATCAAAACTATGAATGAACACATGTGGAGTTATGTACTTAACAAAAAAAGGTGAAATAACTGAAAACATGTTTTATACTCTAGTTTCTTCAAAATAGCCACCCTTTGCTCTGATTACTGCTTTGCACACTCTTGGCATTCTCTCCATGAGCTTCAAGAGGTAGTCACCTGAAATGGTTTCCACTTCACAGGTGTGCCTTATCAGGGTTAATTAGTGGAATTTCTTGCTTTATCAATGGGGTTGGGACCATCAGTTGTGTTGTGCAGAAGTCAGGTTAATACACAGCCGACAGCCCTATTGGACAACTGTTAAAATTCATATTATGGCAAGAACCAATCAGCTAACTAAAGAAAAACGAGTGGCCATCATGACTTTAACAAATGAAGGTCAGTCAGTCCGGAAAATTGCAAAAACTTTAAATGTGTCCCCAAGTGGAGTCGCAAAAACCATCAAGCGCTACAACCAAACTGGCACACATGAGGACCGACCCAGGAAAGGAAGACCAAGAGTCACCTCTGCTTCTGAGGATAAGTTCATCCGAGTCACCAGCCTCAGAAATGGCAAGTTAACAGCAGCTCAGATCAGAGACCAGATGAATGCCACACAGAGTTCTAGCAGCAGACCCATCTCTAGAACAACTGTTAAGAGGAGACTGCGCCAATCAGGCCTTCATGGTCAAATAGCTGCTAGGAAACCACTGCTAAGGAGAGGCAACAAGCACAAGAGATTTGTTTGGGCCAAGAAACACAAGGAATGGACATTAGACCAGTGGAAATCTGTGCTTTGGTCTGATGAGTCCAAATTTGAGATCTTTGGTTCCAACCGCCGTGTCTTTGTGAGACGCAGAAAAGGTGAACGGATGGATTCCACATGCCTGGTTCCCACTGTGAAGCATGGAGGAGGAGGTGTGATGGTGTGGGGGTGTTTTGCTGGTGACACTGTTGGGGATTTATTCAAAATTGAAGGCACACTGAACCAGCATGGCTACCACAGCATCCTGCAGCTACATGCCATCCCATCCGTTTTGCGTTTAGTTGGACGATCATTTATTTTTCAACAGGACAATGACCCCAAACACACCTCCAGGCTGTGTAGGGGCTATTTGACCAAGAAGGAGAGTGATGGAGTGCTGCGGCAGATGACCTGGCCTCCACAGTCACCGGACCTGAACCCAATCGAGATGGTTTGGGGTGAGCTGGACCGCAGACTGAAGGCAAAGGGGCCAACAAGTGCTAAACACCTCTGGGAACTCCTTCAAGACTGTTGGAAAACCATTTCAGGTGACTACCTCTTGAAGCTCATGGAGAGAATGCCAAGAGTGTGCAAAGCAGTAATCAGAGCAAAGGGTGGCTATTTTGAAGAAACTAGAATATAAAACATGTTTTCAGTTATTTCACCTTTTTTTGTTAAGTACATAACTCCACATGTGTTCATTCATAGTTTTGATGCCTTCAGTGAGAATCTACAATGTAAATAGTCATGAAAA